TATCTATCTATCTATCTATCTATCTATCTATCTATCTATCTATCTATATCTGTTCTTCCTATCTATCTATCTATCTATCTATCTATCTATCTATCTATCTATCTCTGTTCTATCTATCTATCTATCTATCTATCTATCTATCTATCTATCTATCTATCCCTGTTCTATCTATCTATTTATCTATCTATCTATCTATCTATCTCTGTTCTATCTATCTATCTATCTATCTATCTATCTATCTCTGTTCTATCTATCTATCGATCTATCAATCTATCGATCTATCTATCCCTGTTCTTTCTTTCTATCTATCTATCTATCTATCTATCTATCTATCTATCTATCTATCTCTATCTATCTATCTATCTATCTATCTATCTATCTATCTATCTATCTATCATCTATCTATCTATCTATCTCTGTTCTATCTATCTATCTATCTATCTATCTATCTATCTATCTATCTATCTCTGTTCTATCTATCTATCGATCTATCGATCTATCGATCTATCGATCTATCGATCTATCTATCCCTGTTCTATCTGTCTATCTATCTATCTATCTATCTATCTATCTATCTATCTATCTATCTATCTATCTATCTATCCCTTTAAAAAGCCATTGCAGAGACTTGAGTCAAGTTTCCAGCCCAAACTGGAATTCTCTCTCAAGTAACTGCACTGTTTAAGCTCAATGTAACAGGAAGGACCATCTCGTGTGTCTTGCTAATTAAGGAGCACAGACTGAGAAATAAAGTGGATGAGGATTTCCCAAGAAATACTAAATAAAAAGCAAAACATTTCCCTGCCACCAGCAGAGTTCAGGCCACTAATGCCAGACACTCAGAGAACGATTGGGAAAACAGCTTAAGCAATATAGAATCGGCAAAGATAAGACCCTGGTTTGGAATAAGTTCTTTCTGGATGGAGACCATTCATGAGTAAATATCCAATAAACCTTCCAGGACTTTGCCCACGCTGGCAGATGGCAGCCCATTTGGTTGTTCCAGGGAACTGGAAATGTGTGAATGGAGTAGGAGGCATGGACAGTGCGTACTAGAGCCTAGCACATGTCTGGCTTGCAAAGAGAAAAAGTGTAGAGGCATCACAACATGTCCTGAGAAAACAGATCTTCTTTGGGTAGCTAATCACAGAACCACAGGGCTGGCAGGGACCTTGGAGGACTTCTAGTCCAACCCCCTGCCCCAGGCAGAATACCTTATAACATAGTTATGTGTGTGTTCCTGTGTAAATGTATGTATGTGTGGTCACGTGTGTGTGTACATGCACATGCACGCACACACATACAGTGGTACCTTCATACTCAACTGATTTGAAACTCATCAGATTTGGTACCCAACACATTTTAACGCAAAAGTTTTGTCCCTGTACTCATTGTTTGTTTGGTACTCAATGCATAAGTTAGAACTTTTGTCAGTATTGGCTGTCTTGTGACTCACTACATTATTCCTTATGGGAAAAGATCGTTTGGTGGTACTCATCATTTTTGGTACTCATCTCACCTTCTGGAACCGGTTATTGACAAATATCAAGATAACCACTGCGTGCACATTTGTGTCTGTGTATTCTCTGCAGGCCTGATGCCAACAGTTGTGCAGCTAAGTGACCCCAGGGGGAGGGATTTGGGGTGTGTAACTTTCAATGTGTAACTTTCGCGCGCTTTGATTCAGATCTTGCCTTCCTTTCGCTGCTGTCAGTTCAAACTTGATAAAAGTACCTCTTCTCTAATCCCAGTGGAGTTAGGGGTTTTCTTTCTTGAGTTTTGAATGGAGGCAGGCCTGACACTAACTAACTGGTGATGATGTTATCTATTCCGTTGTGTCCGACTCTTGGTGATTCTATGGGCCAGGTTTTCTGTGTATCTTCTGATCTTGCACTATTTCTTTGAGTTTTTTGATGCTCTGGCTGATCTCACCTTTGATGGTGTCCAGCCTCCGTGTTCTTTGACGGCCTGGTTTCCTTTTACCGCTATCTCTTCCAAACATGATTGCTTTTTCTACTCATCATTTTTGGTATTCATCTCACTTTCTGGAACCAGTTATTGACAAGTATCAAGATACCACTGTGTGCACATTTGTGTGTGTGTGTCTGTGTGTGTGTGTTTATTCTCTGCAGGCCTGATGCTAACGGTTGTGTAGTTAAGATGGAATGTGTTTAATTCCTCTTCTTTCCTTTTTTGGGCTCTAGATCTAACTCCGTTCTCTTGGAGCAGGAAATCACTCTCGATGGGACCATTGTGAGCGCCGCTTTTGATAATGACATGGACATGGGCATTGTGGGAACCACCGCAGGGACCTTGTGGTACATCAACTGGACAGAGAACACCAGCATCCGGCTAATCAGCGGCCACAAGAACAAGGTTTGCCTTGGCGGTCATGGAGAAACCCAAATCCCGTGAGCTGCTTCCTGGTTGAGGACAACCCTTTCAGCTGTCCTCTCTTCTCTCTTGCCCCAGGTGAGTGAGGTGGCCTTCAGTCCCGGAGAGTCTCATTTTGCCACCTGCGCGGAGGACGGAAGCGTCAGGGTTTGGTCCCTGGCTAGCTTGGAGCTGGTGGTGCAGTTTCAAGTGCTCAATCAGGTAATTTTGGCAGAATACGATGGACTCTCCTATTAGACTGGAGGGAGGGGTTAAGAGGGGGCCAAGCTTAGAGTCCTTGCGCTGCAGAAAATGGCACAGGCCTGACCTCCTGCAGAATCCCTGAAGCCTTAGCTCGCGGTTCTCAAGGGAATGTAGTCAGTCTGGCAAGATTCTTGCAACATGGGTGATTAATAGTAAAAGAACACGAGAGAATATTCACAAGTGGCTCTAGTTGCTTGTGCCCGGTGTAGGCATCTGTGCAGATTCTCACTCATCCATGGCATGCTTGTCCCAAAGATGTTGGTCAGTTCAGAAATGAAGAAGCTTCTTGGATGAGAAGTGAAATGTTTTCAAGAGGGAACAAAAAGCAGAAAAGCTCAGTTCGTCTTTTGGAAAAGCTCCTTTGGGACATAGACAGGCATAATCTTACCAATCGGGTTTTGCTAGAAGGTCCTTGGAGCGGTGCAAGATCCAAAGGACAGATAGGGGATCTGGAAAAAATGTGTACCCCAAATCTCTGGGACTTGTCACAAAGCTAAGCCAAGGAAGGCAGTGGGGAAAAGCCTCAGCATGTTGGTAATTGGGGGCTTATCCTGGAAGTGGAGTAGAATCCCAGGTTTGGCTAGTGGCTAAATTTCTACACATGCTGGTTTATTTATTACAATGGAGCTCCATAATTCCTCTGTGAGCTAATCAGAGGTTTCGGGATGTATTTATTGAGAGCCAATTTGGAGTAGTGTGTTAAGTGCTGGGCTGTAACCTAAGGTTGAAATCGGACTGGGTGATTTTGGCCCAGTCTCTTTTTTCTCTCACCTCACAGGGTTATTGTGGGGAAAGCAGGAGGCAAAAGCATTATGTGCACTGCCCACAGTCGTGAAAATAAAGGCAGGATAGATCAAAGAATAAATACATACATGTTCCTAGATACTACTACAAAAGCCATCAAGAAACCTATATATTCATCTGAACTGCCTGGATTTGTGATCTCCTATGCTTGAGAGCATGCATGATACGAAAGTGGGACCGCTATTCCTTTCCCATCTGTCACCTGGTCGTAGTTAAGGCATCGCTAAACCCTGGTCTGTTTCCCCTTAGAGTTGCTTGTGCTTGGCCTGGAGCCCAGTGCCCACCTCCATCAATGGGCTCGAAAGCCAACATATTGTGGCGGGCTATAGCGATGGCACCATCCGCCTATTCAGCATTTCCTGGACGGAGATGGAATTGAAAATGCACCCGCATTCCGTGGCCGTCAGGGCACTTGGATATTCTGCAGACGGTAGGGAACAAACCACCACGCTGAGCTGCGCATCACCCTTCTTGCTGTCTTCCCCTTGGACTTGGTTCTTTTCCTCTTTTCCAACCCTCCCAAGCTGAGATCTCAACATTTCTCAAGTGTGCCTGTGCATTACTGGCTGATGGGAGATGTAATCTAACTCAGCAGACCCCCCGACCTTTTGGGCACCAGGGGCTGGTTCCGTGGTTTTTCTGTGGACAGGAATGGGTGTGGTTTCATGTGCTGCCTGCATCCCATGGATGGGGCTTCACTTGTTTGCATGGCCCGGTTTCTAGCATGCTGCAGCCCAGTGCTAGTCCATGGACCGGGGATTGGGGACCCCTAGTCTAACTGTCAGCCGAATCTCCAGCATGGTTTTCTGAAGCTTGCTTGCTCTCGGCTGCCATAGAAACGGGGAGGGGGTGTGTGGGCATTTGGGTTGGGGAAGTGACCTGGTGTGAAGTAACCCCATGAGAAACTGGAAGGCACTCATGAATTACAGCACTGCTGAGTGGAATTGCTTATACTCCGTCAAGGCCAGCAGTCCTGAGACTCCAGATGCGAGAAATACCTGCAGAGGAGCTTTCCCATAACATCATACTGGACGTTGATTGGTCTCTCGGTCCTGGACCCTGGGGGGAGGGATTTGGGGGTGACTTTCCGTGTGTAACTTTTGTGTGCTTCGATTCAGATCTTACCTTGCTTTCACTGCTATCACTTCAAACTTGATAAAAGTACCTCTTCTCTAATCCCAATGGAGTTAGGGGTTTTCTTTCTTGAGTTTTGAATGGAGGCAGGCCTGACACTAACTAACTGATGCTGATGTTATCTATTCAGTTGTGTCCGACTCTTGGCGATTCTATGTGCCAGGTTTTCTGTGTATCTTCTGATCTTGCACTATTTCTTTGAGTTTTTTGATGCTCTGGCTGATGTCACCTTTGATGGTGTCCAGCCACCATGTTCTTTGACGGCCTGGTTTCCTTTTACCGCTATCTCTTTCAAACATGATTGCTTTCTCTAGTGATTCTAACTAACTAGAAGCTAGTTGTCATTACCCTGTCGGAATCTGACTTGGAGGAGGAAGCTGAGCAGCTGACAGGGAGTGGGAGTGTGGCTCCGTTGGCTGTGGAAGAAACTGGGGAAGGGCAAAGTCCGCCTGGGCAGAGCAGGGGAGAGGTAGAGCAAGGGAGAGGGAATTCAGAGGAAGACCCAGGCCCACCCCCTCTTCATCCTAGGGCACACAGGGAGGAATGGAGAAGAGAGCAACGTGGGTTGCATGGCTTACGGGGGAGGAAAGGGCCCTGATTCCCTTCATTAGCTGCACCTGGGAACACAGTGTATTAAAAAACGAAGTTGTGTGCAGCAGGCTGTTGGGAACAAACGTGACTTTATCTTGTGCCCTCATGGCTTATCTGTGTTCCTGGCATCTTCCCAACTGTGTGAGTTTTGCTGTGCTTTCAAGTCTGAAATTCCTGCTCCTGCCTTGCCAAACTAATTATTTCAGTTTGGTTTGTTTGGATTTTAAGTTACAGTTTGTGTGTACCTTGTTTTGGATTGAATTTTCTACAGTCAAAGGCTGTTCCTGGGAGAGTTTTTCTCCAGCCCAGAAGGTAACCAGGACATTGGGAGCAAAGTTGGAGATAATAAAGGGACTCTTATTGCTTATCTGACTGTGTTGCCTTTGTGCCACGCCCCGGGTCATCACATTAGTTTTAATAGTTATTTTTTATTAGGTTGTTTCTGTGTAGCCCAGAGATTATCTGGGTTAATGAGAGCAATGCTACAAATGAAACCATATCCTTTCTTCTTGGCTTGGCTAACAATCTTTGTGTTAATTCTGGTGTTTTCAAACTTGAATAGAGGATTCCTGAAAGTACTTCCGAAGTGGTTGCAAGTGTCTGTGTTCATATTTGTCTTCCATGACTGGGGACGCCTTGTGTCCATCTCTAGGGGAAATCATCCTATCAGGAAGCAAGGATGGATTGATTGCCATTAATAGCCCACGTACAGGGATGACCATCAGAGTCCTTACTGACCACCGACCTTCGGCCATTAACGTTATCCAGTGCACCAGAAAACCGGTAAGGCATGCAAATTGTTTTACCCATCTGTATATTATCAGATAAATGGAGTTTTGATGAAGAGAAAGAGAAGAGAGAGAGTTACAGAACGGAAAATAAATTTAAAAAAATATCATAGAGACCAATAATCTAGCTGACATGATTCCAAGTAATGCCTCCCAATCAGTTCAAGACTGAGGCTGTGGCTTTTCTCAAAGATCCCTGTTTATTGGGTACATCATATCGGCACATTCAAATGTGAAACCAACTCTGAATAATTCTCGTGTTTTGGTATAGTTAAAGAATAGATATTGTCTGCCCCGCTTGCGTCACAGGTCACGTTAGCCATCACTCCCTCTTGCCGTTGCTAGGGCACGTTCAGCTGACCTTGGTTCTCATGGGCCTTATCGGTGTTACGTCTGGCACCAGAGGAAAACATTCTACATTCTCCACATCCTCCCCACCCCTCATATGCATGGCAACTTAGAAATGAAGCTAGAGTCGTTTTGAGAGTTGACACTGGCTATGTTAGGTTATTGCAGAAACAACGGTGGAGTTGAGTTATCACTCCCCATCTCCAGTCCGGATGGAGACTGATCGCAAACCAAGAGTTCAAAAATGGATTTGTATAAAAAAAAATACAGGTAGCCATCACTTAACCATACTAATTGGGACGAGAATTTCTGTCTCAACTTTCCACCTTGTTTCCCTTTTCTCCAGTTTTACTCGGCCCCGTTCCTCTAATCCTAAAAATCCCAACCTCTGCTTTTTCTCATCATTGCCACCAAGCGGTTTTTCTAGCTTAATTTGTACCTGAAATTGAGTGACTAGTCTTCAAGGTTTATGTCTATCCTTGATTGGAAGACAGGGCTTTATTCCATTTTTAATATATATCACCCAAATGCTGAGATCATGTATAAGCACTGTGCCAGAGGTTGGGGTAACAAAGGCAGGAAAACAAGAGAAATTATAATTTTCACATCATTTTTCTCCAGTACACCGAACTTGGGACTGAAGGAAGCGATCTTTGGCTGGCCTCCAGCAGTGATCGACGTGTCAGTGTCTGGATTTCTGACTGGTCGAAGGACAAATGTGAGATCATTGATTGGTTAAGCTTTCCAGCCCCCACAGGTCCTGAGGTGAGAGTAATTTACTTGTCTGTAGTATTTCCATCACATAGCAAGTCATGTTGTCTTGGTTATGTTTCAAATTTGGATCAATTTATGGTCCAGGAATTACTCAGGAAGCTAATTCACAGCTAAGATGTATGTGTGTATATCTCAATTTGTTTAAGTTAAACGATAAGTTTAATTTCCATACTTAGAAAATGCTTTGGGAAGTAAATTTCCTGGAAGGGGTCTTGGCTGATCAGCAAAAGCTCTCCAAAGGCGGTAATGATTGTTTATGTCATTTCTGAATTGGGTATGGCCTGGTTAGCACCAGCAATAGCGCTTAAACTTATATACTGCTTCACAGTGCTTTTACAGCCCTCTCTAAGCGGTTTACAGAGTCAGCCTCTTGCCCTCAACAATCTGGGGCCTCATTTTACCCACCTCAGAAGGATGGAAGGCTGAGTCAACCTTGAGCCGGTCAGGATCGAACTGCTGGCAGTGGGCAGAATTTGGCACGGTTGACTTGCTACGCAGCCCCCACTTGCAACCAGACAAGTCTAATGGGAGTACGTAGGGAAGGCATTGGAATGTAAGGAAGGTTTGGGAGGGAGATTTGGAATGCAAGTGTGCCTACTGGAAGCCTGAGACAGACCCAACACCTCAAGGTCCCCAGCTGGGGAAGTCCGAGGTGGGTCAATTGACAATTTGCCACAGCCAATTCGCCACGGCCATGTTGCCACAGGACAACTCACTGTGGGACAAGCATTATACTTTATAATAATAACAGTTATATAATAATAAAATCATTAAAGAAAGGATGCAAATGGAGGGGGCAGAATGAAATGCAAATGGCAAAAAATTTAAATAATATTTATTTATTTTAAATAACTAAATGGAATGGCTAAATTGTCCTTCAGCGAGTTGTCTCGCGGCCAGTTGGCCGTGGCGAGTCGGCCTGCAGCAAGTTGGCTGTGGCCAGTTGTCTCATTCCTCTCTGAGGCAGGCAGACTGTTCTCAAAACAAAGAGAGTGCAAATAAGTGGTTAACAATAGACAATGGGAGGTCCAGGAGGAAAAAAGGGAAAGATTTCCTATGCTGTTCTCGTGTGAAGTTGCTAGAATTGGCTTTTCTGCTTTTGTACCCACGTGGAATCTTCAGTAAAGTTGTGGTCTTGGTTAAAAACACTGTCCCAGGAGTTTATTTTGCTGTCTAACCTAGTGGGACAGTTGACAACTGCATTCTCACCACTGTGCCATCATCATGGCTCTTTCCAGATTCCATGCACTCGTCCAATAATGGATCTTTCCCTTTTCAGATTCCCAGCCCCCTACCTCCTAGCCTGGCAGCGTTTTGCCCTTGGGATAAAAGTACTATTGCTTACGTCGGCTTTGGGTTGCAGAAAGAGATCCTCTTCTACAGCTTGCAGCAGAAACAGGTATGTGGTGTCTTGTCTTGGCCAGGGGCTGCATCACGGAATCGGTGGTTGAATCTGGGTGGGGTGTATGTGTTGCTAGAGGAGACCAGTTCAGACTTCAGGTTTGGAGAGAAGGTTGAGGCACAATTGAGAGCATTTTAACCAACTGCATCCCTGTTGGATTTGGTGGCAGCAACACCTCAGATAGAAAGTCCCCATGGAGAGTGGTGAGGACAGCCGAGAAGATTGTAGGAGGCTCACTTCCCTTTTTTCAGGGAAACTGCTTATAAGCGCTATGTGCTTAGAGATCAAAACATTGTTAGAGACCCCACACACCCACTTTACGATCTGTTTCTGTTGCTTCTCCTCTGGGAGGAGGTTTTGAAGCCTCTACCTTAGGACTACTAGATTCTGTAACAGCTTTGTTCCTTATGCCATTTGTCTTGTAAACTTACAAGGTTTTTTTGTTTTGTCATATATATTTGGACTGGACTGTAATGTTCCTCTGTGTCATATATGTGCATGTATATTTATTTATATAAAAAAAGATTGAGAGTATAGATTTATAATGGGGGAAGAAATACCTCAGAAGAACAGGACAAAGAACTAACCAAGATAATGTCAGATTTTTTAAAGTGAGTTTCCCCCATCCCCCCACATCATGTAGGTCATCGAGAAGATTCCCTTGCCTTCCTTTGCCACTTCACTCAGCCTGTCTCCAGTTGCCTGCACCATAGCTGTTGGCTTCAGCGGTACGTATCTGGAGAGGTTAAACAGTTATGCGTCATTTTCTCTCAAAAGCAAGCAAGCCACCCCTGGGTGTTAGCAGCGTATTACCAACGCTCAAGAAATGAGAGCATGGGGGCCAACGAATCAGCTTTCAGGGAATTCGATGAATGCCAGTGTCAACTCATAAAGCATTCCTATGCCTATTTTTGAGTTGCCATGAACAAGGGGAGGGAAGAAATCTGAAGGAGCAAGGTGGCAGTTTAAAACCAGAAGTACATTCCATCATTATCTTTAAAAGATTGTTAACTAAGTTACTGGATCTTCTACCCGCAAAATCCCTTAATTGGAGAACGTGATTGATGACACCCAGCCCATGAATGTACTTCATTGGAGCATCTGACTTATGATACACCCAGGGAGGAGGGGAGAAACAGCATCACAGGTGACTCTAAATTACGTATGCCAGAGTTGGCTTCAGACTGGCTAAGGCCGGTCATGTAGCTCCTAATAAATCTTCTGGATTCTTTTGAAACTTGGCTCAAGGCTCATGATTTCATTAGGGCAATCTCTGGAATCCTGACAGCCAGGCATAGTTTGTTCTCTTTCAAGCATCCGTTTAAGAGCTTCAGACATCACATTCTTCTTCAAGTGTTTAGTGCTTAGGATTAGAGACAGAACCAGAGATGAAAACTGGATGAGCAAGTCACATTTGTTTCGCTACTGGACTATCTTTGTTGCTTTACTTTCCCTGTAGTTCTACCCCATTTCAGCAGGCCGCCCAACTGTAAATGTACCTTCTCTTAGCCAGTCCCTTTCTCTGCCTCACAGAACGGATGTTGAGGCTGATTGATCGCGCAACAAAGACCTCGGAGGACTACGCGGGCCACAACGACACCATTTGCCTCTGCAGATTTGCCCCCTCCGGGAAACGCCTCTTCACAGCCTCCTACAATGAGATCCTGGTGTGGGAAGTCCAGAGCAGGTGAAAGGAGACCATCCTCTTCGGCCTCATCCTGGCCTGATGTCCAGCGGAATCATGGCCAGATGATAGTTGCTTGTGAACCCTGGGATGATACTCATCTCCTGTTACCATGGGCCAGCTGCAACTTCGAACCCCCAAGTGGGAACAGCCCCAAATTCGGGGTGGCGGGGGTCAGGCAGGTGTCTATGTTAGAGCTGAGCTGTCACTTGAATCCCAATCAGCTTGAATTTAGCCACGAGCATAAGGAGTCAGTTCAGAGGAATGGTGTGGTGGCTTAGAGGTGAAGCTCTCACCTCACAATCAGGAGGCTGTGATTTTGATCCAAGGCAGAGGCAGATATTTCTCTGTCTGGGCACCAGGAGAATATATCTGCTCTACAAAACTTAGCATTGGCGACAAGAAAGGCATCCAGCCAGTAAAACACTCTGCTGATGATGATGATAACAGTCAATTTAGAGCCTGCAGGATTTGGAAGAAGTTCTTCCCCTTCTATTTAGGCTTCAGGATCCTTCTTTGTAGGATATAGGTAGGCCCAAGGTACTTTAAAAGGCAGATGGGTTTTGTTTTTCCTTGAAGGGGTTTTGCTTCTCATCTAAGAAGCTTCTTCAGTTCTACTGCAAAGAAATGTGAAGAAGACACTTGGATGAGAATCGAAACCCCTTCAAGGAAAAAGAGACTCCAGTTGCCTTTTGAAAAAGCACCTTTAGGACAACCTGAATGACTGAGAATCTCCATAGACATTTAGGTTCCAGATGGTTCTTGGTTTATGACTGTAATTGAGCCCAGAATTATGGTCGTAAGTCATGCCAGTCGTTAAGCAGCTTATCCTGCGACCAACCTGATTTTATTACATTTTTTTTGTGACAGTCATTGAACAAATCTCTCTGGTTGTTAAACAAATCCATGGTCATTAAACGAATACCATTATCTGCAATAGGCTTTTTTTTTTTTGCTGGAAGTGAATTCTAGTTTTCGGCAAAAAAAAAAGTCATAAATTGCAATCACGTGACCACAGAATGCAAATGGCCATCAACATGGGCTGGTTGGCCAGTGCCCAAAATGTGATCATGCGACTGCGGGAGGGGAGTGACCGTTGGAGCTTCGAATCCAGGTTCTAAGTGCCTTTTGGGGATCCCTCCTAAGTTGAGGGTTATCTGTAACGTATTTCTTTGCATTTGTAGTCATGATGAAGTCTAAATTGCCTCGCTTCCTAATACTTCCACAGAAAACTCAAGTTTGTCTCATTCTTTTTTTCTTTTTTTTTAGCTCAGCAAAGTAGCTTGATCAGGCCGTCTGAAACATGAGCCAAAAAGTCTTGGTCGGATGTTATGGGAGATGGCTGATTCTCACTGGCTCTCTGACCCAATACAGTTGGCAGATACATCAGTTGCAAGAGAGCTCCTTATCACCTCTGAGATTGGCAGGTGGCATCTCTCCAGGCATCTCTCCTTCTTAAAAGTGGGGTGATTTTCAGAATCAGTGGGCCAAGCCGCTGATTTTAATAACCGATTTCCATACCTGTGATGTCCTGTACAAGAATGTGTGAATTTTAAGTAATATGCCAACCTCAGCTAAAGTGTCTGGCCCAGAGAAGGTCTGTTGTATTGCAGTTGGTTTTGTTCCCTTTCTTTTTAATAGCATTGTCAAATGTATATATGTATATTTCTCTACATATTTTTCTACAACGAAAATAACTTTTTAAAAAAATCATCATCCTCCTCCTCCTCTCCCAGAACTCGGTTTTGATTTTATAGTTTTGTAGTTGCTGGTTACACTTTCAAGTGAACTTTTAGCTGAGAAGGAATGCCTCCGGTTTTCTCACTAACAGAATCACAAAAAGCGATTTTAAAACAAAACAAAACGAAAAAGAAACACCGCTGAGGGTTAACTGCTGAGTACGCTTTAAAAGTACAGGTTTACCTTTTAAAGAATGTATTTTAAAGATCAGGAACTTTCCAGGCTCGTTTGATACTCAGAATTTATAAAGATAATGAGTTTTGTTTTTAGAATGCACGAAACACAAGTTTGTTCCTCAGGTAGTGTGATCTGATACCAGCAGTTCAACAGGTATTTCTTTCCTTTCTTAACCTCGGCCTCTAACAACAGAAGAAACAACATTCACATTGCACTTGTTTTTGTTTGTAATTTATAACGAAAGAAAAGAATTGGACTTGTTTAAATTTTTTTAAAATTTCAAATAAACGAATAGTTTTATGTGTTCAACCTCTGCCGCTTTCTCTTGTTCCAGAAGTTAAGACAATTCAGCAAAATGCTCTTTCATACAACCCCACCCCCAAAACCAGCCCCATTTTATCTGTATCACCAACCCCAGAGATGTCTACAGGGCACAGTTGGAAAAATCAAGATTTCTGGCCGTCAGAAAGATGTGATCAAAGTTTCGCCCATTTTTAACGGATGGCAAATATAAAAATAGATAAAGATTAGATTCCACTGTCACACCCATCACCTTGGGTTTTTGGACAGCATCCAAACTGGGTCAGTCAAAATTTTTGTCTTCTGAGCTTGTAGTGGAGCTCATCCTGAGGGAACTTCTGTGTATGCTCTGTGTGTGGTACTTATATGGTGCCTATTGCGTGTGGCTTTTTAGATGTAGAGTGGGAATTGATGGCTGCCTATTAAGTCGTTGGCTGTTGTTTCCTTATGCTGCCAAGCCCTCACCTCCTAAGTACTTGATAAGCTGGGGTAAATCAGCACTCCTTTTGATTGACAGGAGCCCGTTTCCCAGGCTTCAATCACTTCCCTGGCTGTTTTTGTGCCTGCTTGGCCAACAATCTTAGTAGCAGACTTTTTTTTGACAGCTTTTTTTTTTAATTTATTTTTTTGACAGTTTATTATTATTTTTTTCCTTTACAGTTCCTTTATTCTGGAAACAGCCGATCAATATTCCTTAGTTTTTCCCCCCCTTCTCTAAAGATATGGATTAAAGAAAGAAAGATGGAAGTGATGATGGCCAATTCAGATTTCTCTACCTCCGTCCTGCGGGCTGCTTCCTAACCTGCTCCCCATATCTGCTAATGCTAATTCTCATTAAATGCTTCTGTTTTGTTCAGAAACGGTTTTGCTCAGAAGGCCTTTTATGTACAGCTGACAAAGGCAGGCAAGAATCAGGATCTGAGTGAGGGCAAGCTTTCTGCGTCTTGCGTCCATTCCACACACCCCCCCCCCCAAAGGGCTGGAAGTTGTTTGGGAGTGCCCAGACTCTTAAAGCGTTGTGGTTGCGTCACTGTGACTCAGAGCAAGTCACACAGCAAAGAGCTGCTCTTCCATTTCTGCAGCAGTCTAAAAACAATCCAGTTCAATCCTAAAAGAATTGCCTCTTGCTGAAAGCAAAACTCAAAAAAGCCAAAGCTGAAAACTAACTTTACTCTGCAAGGCAAGTTTTTTTTTGGCTGCCACTTCAGTCAGGGTTGCAAGAAACCGACTGGATCTATTTTGAATTTGATTAGTCACTGAAGGAGGTTGCTATAGCCAATGTCAGTCAGTCACGTAGAACTATGAGAAATTTCCTCTTCCCATGCTTTTTTCAAGAGGCAACTGGACTTTTTTGGTTTTCCTTGAAGACGTTTCGGTTCTCCTCCAAGAAGCTTCTTCAGCTTCTGACTGGATGGTGGGAGGAATCTTCCCATTTTATTTAAAGTAGAAAATGCCCCATTTTTTTTTCCATTTTGGCCCACCAAACCACAATGAAGCAAAGAGTGAAGCAAGCAGAATACGAATTTATTTCTGTAAAAAAGTTTATTCCCACATAAATCACAAAGCAAACTCTCCTCGAGGCTTTATTTTCTAGAAGGGACTTGAAATACTCTTACTTTTCAAACTTTCACTTGAGGGTTCCATAAATACAAAAAGGAAATACAGATCAAAGTGCATTAAAAAAGCTGGCTCAGAAAGAATTAATTTTTTGCTTCAAAATATATTATTAAAAGATAGTCCCATTGCTATCCTAAGAAAATGTTCATCTTTTCAAATATATTACTTAAAAAACACTTTTTAAGAGATTAGCATAAGTCCCTCAAAAATCTCTGATAAAAAAAGATTAGCAACCTAGTAAACCCCTTTTCTATATTTCCTGTTATTCTAGCCTGCAGAATAAAATTAGTGGCATTACTTGTTTTTTAACCTAGGAATCCTGGCTTGTTAAACTATAGTATCCAGGATCACAATCTCACCAAAGAAACCTTTTCCACTGGTTATTTTCTTCTATACATTGAAAAAAATATAAAAAGACAATGTGTTTTTTTGAATCAGCAAGAGAGAGTAAAACATACAATCAAGTATTTTGACATCAAATAAATCACTTTGGAAAGGAAAAAAAAATGCAATTTAAGAAGCTTGGCAGATAAATTCCAAAATATTAGTGCAAACCCGCTGAATAAAAATGGATCTACAAATATCAAACATATATACAAGCGCAGATCATTTTTATGCCCCGTGTTGGCTACATGTTCAGAATTATGCATTTAAGCATTGTTTCTCAACCTTGGCAATCTATATATATAAAAGTTAAATCCCACTCACGCATCATCACAAAATCTCCAGAACCGTAAAGCCTACAAATTTGAAATTTGGCACGTTATGTTCCTCTTGGCTTCTACATGCTCACTAAGAAAAGATTTTTCGCTACCTCAAAAGAAAACTGTTCCAAGTGCAAAACACAAGCAGAGGAGAGGACTTTCAGTTTCAGCTTCACAGCAGCAAGCAGCTTTAGTACAGAACAGTTGAGCTAAGCCACACCCAGGCTCCTTGCTGTCTCCTTGCTCCCACAGCAAATACTGCTTCAGTTTCCAAACAGCCCTCAACTCTCTCACACACTGACAGGACGCTAGCCAGATGAATAGCGATGGATGCTGGTAGGCAGAGGCAGATTTTTTTTCTCCTTATTTTCCTCCCCCAAAACTAAGCCGGGCCACATAGTTTCGTAGTGAAGCACGGGGTATCGAGCTACTGTTTTAAGATACATGGATTTCAATTCCTAGAATTCCGTAGCCACAGTCATGAACAGTTTAACGTTGAAGTCCACAGCGCTTAAAGTTGAGAAACGCTGGGCTAAAGAAATATCATTCTTTATTTCAACCGATAAAACCTGGATCGATAGAAGCTTACGTTGAAGGGTATGCTAAATCATCCGGAAAAGCCGTTTTTGGGTTCCAAATTGTTAATTCCAAAAGCAGAGGAAGAAAAAAAAGGCAACCCACAGTCCTTTAACAAGCATATAAATTACACAGTCATGAGCCACATCCTATCATTCATAAACCCAAAGGCTCCTCTCTGTAAGACATAAACATAGAATCATAGATTTGGAAGGGACCTCAGAGATCATCTAGACCAACCCCTCTGCCCAAAGCAGAGAGACCTCGTACCATCTTTGTTAAATGGTTGTCTGGTCTTATTTTTGAAAACCTCCAGGGATGGAGCACTATAACTCCGGGGGGGGGGGGGGGGGCAAGATTAATTAATCCACTGATTAATTGTTCTCAGGAAACTTCTCCTTGGTTCTAGGCTGGATGAGCTTCCATCCATCCATTCTTTCTTGTCCTGCCGTCTGGTGCTTTGGGGAATAAGTCCAAATAAACAGCCATTTTGTGTAGCTAGAGTCAAGAACTAGGCAGCCACAATTAAGTGACTTGGCAGACACTTCTAGTGTGAGTTTGTGGCTGGCTCACAATCCTTTTTAAGAGCTAAATAATCTTCTGGAAGGGTAGAGACATCTAGATTTTTTTTTTATTCAAATACTGAAATTGTTCAGAGCCAGCTTGTAAAGCTCCACCATATATCTCTCAAAGGTTCTGTGTTTAAAAACAGTTTTTTCCCTGGGTTTCCATTCTCTGCAGCCTGTTCTGGAAGCAAAGAATAGAGGCTTCCCAGCTATTAGAAAAATGCAATTTTCCTGGCTAGCACAGACTCCTCTAAGAGTCCACCAATGATGGGGTTGATTACAATCCTCTAAAAAAACCACTTAAAAACCTCTAAGCTGCCTTAAAAATCAGTTGTTTATGCAGTCCAAGGGCAAATCCAGTGTACGAACAAGGAGAGTGTTTGCTGTGAAATAAAACTAGCATTCCTCTCCACACAAAACAGAGACTGGAAAGAGCTGACATAAAAATCGGATTTTATATTCTTCGGGCAAGAAGAATCCTCAAAAAAAAAAAAAAAAAAAAAACCATTTCCCATCCAGAAGTGGGATTCAGCAGGTTCTGACCAGTTCTGGAGAACTGGTAGTGGAAATTTTGAGTAGTTCAGAGAACCGGCCAATCCCACCTCTGACTGGCCCCACCCCCATCTCTTCTCCACCTCTCGAGTCCCAGCTGATTGGCTGGGTCTTCTTTGGTTGCCCTGCACAGGAGAATGGAGCTGGAAAGCAGGTTAGTGGGGTGGGGAGGGAATGGGGATTTTGCAGTATCCTTCCTCTGCCACGCCCACCAAGCCCTGCCACGCCCACCAAGTCACGCCCACAGAACTGGTAGTAAAAAAAAAAATTGAATCCCGCCACTGTTCCCGTCTCCCAAATCATCAAATCTTCTACAGCGCTTCAAGCGGAAGACGCCGCTGTGCAGTTCAGTTGAAGCATTCGGGAGATGACCACCTCTGGTGACTGACATTCACTCACCCTTCTCTCCAAAACTTGGCGGGAGAAAGTATTTCCAACCAAATATGGAAGCTTCCCTCTTTGGGAACCCAAAGAGTTCCAGACCCCTCTCCGAGGCCGCTGGTTCCAGTTAAGGCAACGAGGAAAAATGGCGACCGAGGGAGCAAAAACTACACTGAAGAACGGTGAGGATTCTGCTCCAGGGAAGAGAACCTCTCACGATCACAGCAGATGAACGCTTTCGGTCAGGTTCGTGTCCCAGGCAGCCTCAGTGGGATCGTCCTCCTCCCAAGCTGCTGGCGGAATCCGCTCTTTGGTCCCACCGTTGATCTCTTCCAGGGGGACCGAAATGTACTGACCGTGTTCGTGTCGCTGGTTGGTGCTGCGGAGAGCCAGTCTGACGTTCACCAGCACGCTGAGCGAAAGCAGGACAAGCAAACCCAGGCTGATTGCGACCCAGACTTTCCTACGAAGAACAAGCCACGGTTCAACGAACGGGGGCAGAGGGAGCCTTAAAGGTTGTAGCCCACCAAAGCTCCAAAAAGGGGGTCTTCTTTGGAGCTGTTATTTCCCTCCACCCGGTCTTCCGTGGGAGGCAGGAAAAACCGTCAAGGACGTGCAAGGAAATTTTATCGGCGAGCAAAAAAGCGTGAAACTTACTTGGAGAAAAGGAACTCTTCCTTTGAGGTAGCTTGTAGCA